ACAGTCACTCTGAAGAGTTGTAACATCACTGCGCATGGGAAAATGATGTTTCCAGTCTAACAACTGCTGTAATGAATCGTGCCTAGTGCTGCATCAGAGATTTCCAGCCCCAAGAGCATCCCCATCTGCCACCTGAGCCAGAGGGAAGGCTCCTCTCCCCTCATCCTTCCACAGACTGAATCCCCAGGGCATCGCGCTCGGGGAAAGCGGCACAACCAGCGCTGCCAAAGGGCATGAACCGATGAGTACCTGCAATCCCACAGCCTCATTTCACTAGTTCCCTCCTCACAGCTGTTAGTCACTACCTCCTCCCTGACATTTCATACCCTCTACAGAACACATCTTTATTTTTTTATTACCCTGGCTCTGATAATCTTTGTTGCTGGATTTCAGTGCACAAAAAAAGTAAAAATTTTAGCCATATCAGCCTAATGACACTGCCAAGTAGATGGAGCATCCCTCATTTGTCAGGATGTGAAAAAAATTAAGCCACACATTTCCCAGTCCCCACAAGCTTCTAAAGAACAAGGTTTTTCCGTAGATAAAATGCATAAAATAACTGCACAGTAGTTCCCATGACTAGTCCTCGGAGTTTAAAACTTAATGTCTTAAAAAAAAAAATAGATCTATTTTCGTATCTGTCTTTCAGAACATGTTCTCTGCATTACATATAAATTCTAGCCATTAGCATTAATTATGATTCAAGCCCATCATCACTTAGACATCCATTAACATCCAGAACATCCTCCACACCTCTCTTCTCCCCATCTTCTAATTCACATGCGTCTTTAAGGTGTGCAGCAGCACCACTCAGCTGCTCAGTTCAGGAGTTTTTCACAGTTTCTTAAGGATAAAATCAATAAAATCCCCTCCTGTAATCAGGAATTTAGGAATATGGCCCCCCCACACACACATGCCAAGCACACCTCTGCACGTAGCTGCCTTTCTTCTGAAATCAGCATTTCCCTGTAACTTCCATGTTCACAAACTGCACATCAAGGATTTCCCCGTTTCTGTCTAGTTTTCTGAAGGTGGAACATAAAAAAAAGCCTCGAAAGCAGTCTAGGGGAGAACACACTGATGAAACGAACACTTGGACATGTTTAATTCATCAAGCGGTAGCTGAAATTTTTGGAAGGAGAAGCTCCAGCACAGACTGTCTTGCTGACTCATGTGAGTCTGGTTTAAGAGCATCTCAGGCTTAGACCTGCAGAGACGCGCCCGGGAGAGGGAGAGGAGTGACCCATATACCCACCCAGAGCCGCCACGCAGCGCTCAGAGCTGGCGCACGGAAACAAGTGGGTTCCCTGCTGTTGGGGTGTCCCTTGACCTGAACCTTGGTCAAAAGTCCCCCGCCCCTTTTTTTTTTTTTTTTTTTTTTTTAATCTACTCCTCGTCTACAGATAAAACCTGGCTATTTTTGATGTTAAACATAAATTGCCTTAAAATGGCTTGATACAAAGAGGCGTCTTCAGGTGGGGGGAGTAGGGAAATCAAACCCTCCCAGAAAGCGAGCTCCTCCGACGTGTCGCATGTGGGGAAATAAAAATCATCTCTCTCAGCTGAACCTGTTGGGCAAAGCCTCGGGTCGAGCCTGAAGCCCGAAGCCCATCTGTCCTGCCAACTGCTGCAGGACGCCGTCCTCCCGCCAGAATGCATTTCTACTTCATGAACTTCTCTGGTTCTTGGTTTTATGCAGAACGATCCTTCTGCCAGCACATTTTAATCCTGTTTTTCAACCAGCCATGTTAAGCACCCAATTTGCTCCAAAATCACCCAGCCTGAACAAAAGGCAATAAACCCTTCCAGACCGCTCTGTTGAGGTAGCACAATTACCTGTAGCGAATGGAAATGACTCTGCGAGAGAAAATTGCTCTGAAAAGGGAACTATGTTGGGAGAGTTTAATAAAGGTGTAGAAAATAGAAATAATCCCCCGAGTTCTGAAGAACAGGGGGGAACAAGCAAAGCCCGAGGATAAGCAGGGTGAACAGTAGGATCCTTGACCAGTGTTCAGGCTGTGGGTGCTGGCATACTGGTTGGACTTGGTCAAGTCACTTAACCTCTGAGATTTCCATCAAGTGCAGGACCTTTTGGATGCACAGCGAAAGGAAATGGCTCATCTGTGAAATGCAGCTCTAATCGCACTGGCTTGTAAGGGGGCTTTACTAGCAACTGTGCCATTTAAATACCCTGAAGTACAGATAAAAAAAATGAACACAGTATTCAGAGAGAGAAATGTGCTGCTTTGCTGGGTAACAAAAGGAAGGAGAAAGCAAGGCAATTCTTTTAAAAACCTCCCAAGCCCGTGGTACACCCTCAAGTCACCGCAGTTCTGCTGAAGGGGCTGGCAGTCCCTCCCGCACCACAGGAGTGCAGTGCTTTGCCGTGTAAAACAGAAGAGGCTCCAGATGTGAGAGCTGGCACCGGCTCCCACCGAGCGAGAGCTCACCCGGCACAGGCAGCTTTTACCAACCCCACCTCCTCTGTCACTGCTGATCTCACACACATTATTTATTTAGAAAGAAAAATGTAAAAAGCACGTAAATTTTCCCTTGACCTCTGGAACCCATTGATTGCTGCTCTGTAAAAGTGATCAGGCTCCATTTATGGGTACTGAACGTCCCTCTGCTACTGCAGAGCAGCATTTGAAGGTTATGTGGAGCCCCTACACCCCCGGAGCTATCACACATAGTTGCTCCAAATGAACCTGCCTCCATTCCTCTTCGTACTGCTTTCCAAACATCTTCACCCTAATTAAAAGACATTATTTACTAGGACATAAGGATGTTAAAAACTGCAAAGGAAGATAAGATCTGGCATGTAGAACATTTCCTTTCTGTGTTTAAAGGAGGGAATGGGGTTCCTGTGAGAGAAAAATAACAATCTGAAAATAATCCAACTCTTTCTGCAGAAGGGGGGGAAAAAAAAAAAAAAAAGCAGTTCTTGGGATTCATATTTTAACACTAAGAGTGGCTATTCTCAGCCTTAGTCTACAATGTCTGTGTCAATAAACAGGGGATCTCTCAGCAGGATTCCCGGAGAATCCCACAGCCCTGCTCCTCCGCCAGCACCGCGCCCAGGGACTCACCTGTGCGGCTGCAGCGAGGACAGAGGCAATGGTTAAAATGGTGCCAGCCATCATCTTTTTCTCTTTTATTAATGGGATTAAGGAAAGAACCCAGAACTGTCAGGAAAGAGGACGGGGATTGCCCCAGACAATAATTAAATATTATTAATCTATTTCTAAAATCAGGATTCGGTGCAAAAAAGAAGTTGTACTAGCATGCTGGTCACAAACAGGGAATTAAAGGCACTTTGGGTGTGAAACCAATCAACCTGACCAACACAAAATGCTAATAAGGCTTCTTCTGGAAAAGGCAAAATACTTTGGCATTAATCCCAGAGTTATTTCTCCTTGTGACCAACCTGTATCAGGACAAAGCATCAGAGAAGCCAGACAATTGATGAGAATCATTAGCTTTTCATTATAACCTTTCATCTTGACAGAAAATTTCATATTGCATCTTTTGATTTAATGACCTGTTCAAGCAATTAGCTGAAACAATTAAAATCAGGGACTAGAAAGGGTGTTCTTGGCTTATGATGGAAATGCGCTAAAAACCCAATCCAAAAAATTTGTTCATCCCCCTTTTACAAAAGTTTCCAAAATCACTGAACTCATGATGAGAACTTTCTTTTAATATTGCTATAATTAGGGTTAGCAAAGAGGTGGAGAACATTAAGATCTAATAAATGTACCACACAAGAGTAAACAAATTACTTTGTTGGATGCTGCACAGTGGAGTTATTAACTCGGCAGCCTCAGGGGCAGCGATGCACTGCAGGGAATGCAGAATAACAGAGTGGCAAGTTCTTGGGGCCAGCTTGAAGCTATACTGAACCTGCACTTTAAGTATAGATTTTTTATACCGTATTTTTTTCTGTTAAGTAACAAGACGTCTGTTCATCCCTACTTCTGATGGGAGCAGTGGAGGATGATGTAATAATGTTACCAAAATATTCAGGAGAAGAAAAAATTGTTGTTTTTTTTTTTTTTTTAAATACGGACTCTATTTTACACAGCCCATGGATCCTTAGCAATCATTTTTGTTATAAGCTGAGAAGCACTGGGAACACCAGTCTACATACATAACTGCATTTGTGTGTTTCTACAAGCAAGTCACCCAAAAGGCAGCACCCCTGATGCGCAATCCAGTCAGTGTAAAAGAGCAGTATTGGAGAGATGATAGAGAAGTGGCATTTCTTCCAAAGGAAAATTGCTAGGGTTGTTGATGTGCCTAATAAATCAAATAATATTTTAAATAATTTTTTTTTTTTCCCAATATTGCATATAGCAGCATTAGCTGAATGGTATAGTTACCTACGCCTTTCTAGCACACGTAGCAGCCAGACCATGTGGGTGCTTGTCTCTGGCACAGCTCAGTTCCCAGAGAAAGGTCAGATAAGGAGCAGACGAGGACCAGAAGGCCGTTCCCCCTCCACCATCACTCTGGGCAGTCTTGATGAACTCAGCAGGAGCTCTGCATATGAAATGATGGCAGGCTACGGCCCATAAAATTCTGTTTTAATAACACCACACTAAGTTATCCTTGGTTTATTGACAGGCTTTTAATCACCAGAAAGGACACCAGCATGGCACCCGGTTCTGCAAACCCTACTCAGAGAGAGTAAAATTGACTTTGTTGTAGGAGATCAAGATGAGGCTGAGCTACAACTTAAAGCAGAGCGTTTCATACATGAGTTGTTCTCATTACTGAGAGATGATAAAAAACATGTTCCTTTTATCTGGTAACTCTCACCAGTGGATCTCAAATGCATTGCGAAGAAGGTGGTTTCATTAGTTTCATTATCTCCATATTCATTAGGCAGGAACAGAAGCACAGCAAGATGAAATGCTGTAGCCACGGTTCCCCAGCGAACATGTGGCAGAGGTGGAAAGAGAGGCCATACTCAGAGACCACGCAAACCACGCTGCCTCGTTACTGGAGTGAAGATTTTATTAACAACAACTACAGGTATGGAAAACATTTATTGTCTTCAATACAGTTATTGCTCATAGAAAAAGTTTGAAGCCCCACAGAAGAACAAGCAGGCTCAGTTACTTTTCACCACGCACATGAAAAATACGCCAGAGATTGCATTTCTGTTATACAAATAACCCTCCTACCAGAAATGGGAGGAAGTGCCCGATTAGGCCAAATTACAGCCCACGGCGGGCGCTGCAGTTAAGCACCTACAGTGTGCAGGTACCACTCCTCCCCAGCAGACAAAATACATGGAAGAAGAGATTTATCTGTGCATGCACAACCAGGCAGGGTTTTCTTCCAGCTTTGGTGGCAGCTGGGGGGGAAGAGCGGCTCTGGGTGCCGGGGCTCTGCGGGAGCACAGAGCAAGGGGCGGCGACGGGGACGAAAGGGCCATAGAGCTAAAAAAATGGAAGCAAGCTGGGGAAGGTGAACTATGAGGGATGTCCAGGGTAAGGTCCTGGCTTAAAAAGGAAGGTTACTTTCCTTGCCTTCTCATTAGGGGCTAATGAGGGCATGCCTCTCTGCCCATCTCATTGACTCACCAGGATCCCACGCTCCTGGAAGAAACCGCCTGGGCAGGAGGCTGCTCTCATTTGCACCAGTATCACTGACGTTAGCAGCCAACCCCTGGGATTTTGTTCTCTTTCCACTGCGGTTCTGCAGCGTGTCACTCCTGGCAAGGGCATAAACTTACTCCTGACTTTCCCTGAAATGAGCAGGAAGAGTCTGTTCCAATCTCCAATACCAAAGTCAGTCCCATTTGCGACTGCTCTTTTGCACGGTGTGGTGCATAACAACCCCTTCCTGAAGGGTATGTTATCGCTTGCTCTGGATGTTATATTAATGTCTCTAACAAAATGGTGGGTAAAGATTGTATTCCCCAAATGACATCAATAACAGAATAGATAATTTCATTTAGAAAAAGCTTTTGAACAGGGGGAAAAGGTAGTTAAGGAGAATGATTTATGGCAGTGCAAGATCTGTCATGTCAGAGGTGAGTTTTGTTGATGGAAGGGATCATTAAAATCCCAGGGAAATTTCTCTAGCTGCCCAAGTCTGACCGTAGGGCAACTCCCATTGAATTCCCTTCGAAGGAAAATCTGTGCAAGGCTGCCCAGTCCGTGCCCACTGTCTGGCTGATGGGCAACCAGTACCACGCTGCGGACAAACTGGGGGAGCTGGTGATCCAGGGAGAGCTGTGGACGAGAAGAGATGAGAAAGGTTATCATGGTCAGGCTGGATGGAGTTTTCTATAAACTGGGACCACAGGTTGATCGGTGCTTCCTGTTCTGAAATGCTAACATTTGGACACAGCTAAAATAGTAAGACGTGATTCAATTTTAGGGGGGACTAAGAGGGAACAGCAGCATTTACAGAATGAGTGTTTCTTTCTGCCATTGATAGGAGAGGACATTGCATTGAAATAGGAAACAAAAATCAGTAGAAAAACCAGTGTGAGTCACTGGAACAGGCTTGTTGCAATCTTGACTGCTGGCATAACGATGGAGAGGTCACTGCGAGGCAGAGACGTGGGGAAATGGATGCTTTGATGGAGAGGGAGCAGACTATGGCATCTCAGAAGAAATGAGATTATTAGATAAAGATTTCTCTCATTCTTCACAAACATGAAATAATTCCCACTGGCTATTTAAGAAAATTGTGTTAAGAGATCAGTTGAGAGAGTTTTGTTTGCTTCGTTTTTTTAATTCTAAAATCTACAGACTTTGTATCTGACAAAATTTCAGACATAACCTGCACCGCCAAGGCAAGGAGCATTTCAAATGATGATGCAGAATGTTCTGACCTTGAACTTTACAGGTGATAACTTTTAAGTTCTTTTCTCAAAGTATTTTCTAAATGCATTTAATTGACATGGAGTCTGTGAATGAGAGACGACATTAATCTGAAACTTGGAAATTAGGAAGAAAGCAATGCAGCAAATTCCACCAAGTTTGCATGTCATGGTCTTGTGGCACCACTGACCACAGCATTACTGAAAGTCACTTGAATTTCTGTATAATGATATCTTTTCTACTCCTGTAGGTCCTTCTCACACTCACCTTTGATGGGGGTAGGAAACAAAGAAGTCTGAGTGGTGAACATGCTGATAGAGGACCAGCCAGACAAATACTTACAAAGCAGAAATGCTGGAGTCTCAAAGCAATGAAAAGCCTACAGGACTCCAATGAATGTAATTGTTTAAAGGAATACAGAATTACATTTTATGCTGGCAAATCTAGAAAAACACATTTTGATGACCTTTCCTGCTATTCCAAATGGAAAACAAGCCCCTGTCTTATCACAGCCTTAGACTCATGGATATAATCAAATGTACAGCTGTCCAGAACAGTAATTAATTTAAAACCAAAACCAATACCAAACAAAACACTAAAAATTACCTTTGTTTTTTCCATTTTTAAATCACATTATGGAACCATTTCATAACTGCCACAGGCAGCTCCCTATATACATCTCTCTTTCACTTCATCCCTCTGGGATGGATGGCCTGCCTAGCCTGCCCTGTGTGCATGTTCTATACACTCCAGCTTTTACTTGGTGTAAACTGACACCATTGCTTTTAAACTTTTTTAAAAACTTCTGAATTTCAGTGCACCTAAGGACCTTGAGACAAAAAGAAAGACTTATAGGTCTTGCTTCATCAAGACTTCAAAGGAGCTATATATATTTTTTTACAACAAAATGAGTTCGCAAAATGTATTACTAAAATTATTGATTTTCCTGCTGTGAGTGTCTGCATGTTTCGATTTGATTTGTATTTATTGCTTCCCTCCTAATCAGTTTATAGTTATTTCTACTTAAAATATTCTTTAGATGTTGTAAGACTGGAGAAATTGAACCGACATTCCAGCCAGAAAGCAGCTCAGATTTCTGTAAGTAGCTTTAAAAACATCAGGAACATCTTACAAAGCAAGCCCATCCCCATAATTCCTTATCCAATTCAAGCGGAGATCACGAGCTTGAGATGCAGACTTCACATTTCTACCATAAAATCCACAGGGCAATCATCTCAGACCACGGCGTATATGGAGCAGTTTAAAAAGATGATGCAGTAAAACACAGACTCTGTTGTTGCATTTTGTGGCCACATATAAGAAAGTTGATCCAATTGCTACAAAGAGCCATCTGTGGTTAACTAAGGCCCTCGGACAATTTTACATTTGCATTTTAACATGTAGTTCTCATCCAGCAATATTTGATAAGCTGTTGGAGGAACATTTGAACCTCGTATTTGTTTAGTCCAGAAAGCTAAAGCAGGTCATAGCAAGGAGTGCTAAGAGATGAGATGCCACCATACTCTTGCAATTCAAAGAAAAGCAGAATGACAAGGTTGCCCAGGTTCCTTTGATCTCCATGGCCAAACTGATAATTCATATAATGAACTTCTCAGATTTTTGTACAAGGTAAGTCCTCCAAGCAGAACTGCTTTGGTGGTCCCTTCTTTCTTAAATTTGCTGTAAAACATTCTTACCTGAAAAACCTTTTCAGCTCTGTTCAACATTTACTGTAGAGTTCTAAATGAGAAAACTATCTTTATATACAGCATCTAAATGACAACTGATCCCTTAGAGATCTCAGTAGCCTTCTGCAAGGTAGACTCTTCCTTTAGCACTAATTAAACAGAAAAATAAGGAGACATTGCAGTTATGTAGAGCCGTCACTGAGCTACAGCCTTTCATTGGCTTTCTCTACACAAATCAATTAAACATCCAGCATGAGAGCAATTAACCTAGATACAAATTAGACTAGCAGGGAGAACACGTTTCCTTGTATCAGGCCTTTTATTTTAGAAATAAGAATCATCCATATTTAAGTGCACTTTTTTGCCTCAAATAAAAACAAGTCAATAAAGGAAAGAAAAGTTAAATGTCACAGGGAAGATGCAGGATGCAGCTGTTGCTTTGTGAGTAATAAGCACTAAAGCTGAGTGGAAAAGCTGAGTGACAGTAAACAGAGGAGATAAACACAAATGCATATGGAGGAGCCAAGCCCACAAACAAATTAGTAACAGCTGCCATATATCGTCTAGTGACTGCCTGCAGAGTGAGGTCTATGCATTATAAGCATAAATCCTCACAGATTATAGGGTTTATTCCCAACTAGAGCCAATGTAGGCATCTCTCTGAAATTAGTGGAGTGACACTGATTTATTTATATTTGCTTTCAGTTTGCCCAGGAGCTCCCCACCTCTGAGCCACAGTGCTGCACAGAGCTCTCAGCCCATTTACACCATCAGTAATTTCGCTGTCTTGAAATCCACTGAGTTTCAGGCCACATGTCAGGCCCAGGATGTTCTGAGCAAGCTAGTCTGGAGAGGAGGCATTTTGTAAAACTGATCCTAAGCGTGGGTGTGGTTTGCACATCAACCCTGCGGTTAAAACAGCAGGCAGGGTTCCTTGGCGAGACCTCCCCGTCTGCGTGCTGCCACTACACTGAAAAATGGGACTTCTGTCCCAATAATGCCTCTAACTGCTAGCGTGACATATGTGTTGTGATAACTGATGTCAAAGTTAGCTGTTGCTGTTGCTAACTTTCTCTGATTTCCAGGCTGCGGCAATTTTTCTCCATTTTTCCTGGGAAGCAACACTTTAGGAATAGTTTTGCCCTACGGCGGCGTTGTCATGTGGGATGTACGACTCCAGGAAAAGTGGTCATAAAAGGAAGCATTGTGGCCACTTTTCAAAGTCGTATTTTTAGAAAGGGAGGGCTACGAAAAATCCTTTCAAAACAAGGTAGGAAGAACTATCTTTGATCACTTTATCACTAAAAGATTGCTATCCTGACCTACGCTATTTTCTGGAGGGCGACTTTCAGGATAGTCAGTTTGAAACATCAGACAGTTCACGTAGGAAAAATGACCAGTGAGCCATAAAACCAAGCAGAGTGTAGAAGTATCAAGGGACAAAGTCATGTTACTTCTTTAGCTTTTCATCTAAGCCAATTATATTTGAGTTTTTCTTTGCCTGGGCTGTGGCTCACAGCTGATCCTTTGCAGTGTCTGGTCTATTGTGTCCCTGAATCAGCCAGTTCTACAAAAGGCAGAACTGGGTGGTTTAATACCTTGAATACAGACAGATTTTCCAAGAGAGACGAGAAAATCTGAAATCAACCATTTCCTAGCTGTTGATTAGAGGACATCAGTATACGAGCCCATCTCACTCCTCTGCATCCCGCTACTCGTCCAGGTCAAAGTCACAGCCACAGACGGCAGGCACCGCGGCCGCGTTTCCCCGGCAGCGTGCGATTCCCGTAGAGTTATGGCTTTTAGAAGATGTCGCATGTGAAATCCAGCATGTAGTTCAGCCTGGGATCAAGAAACTCTGATTTGAATTTTAACCAAACAGGGAAGGCAATTTAAGCTAATGGGCCTCAGTTGTGGTGTCCAGACCCGATGTGATTCCAACCCCAGGCACAGACCGCGAAACGTACCGCAATACCCTGACTCCCCCGCCATGTACCCCCCATCAGCTCCAGTTCTCTCTGACAAATTGATTTGCAACAACCCGCTGAAACTGATTTTAAACCATGTAAACTCTGCAGATGTATCTCTGTTATGAACTTTTTCTTCCAACCCAGGGATAAATGAGTACTTTCAGTCTCCTCAGAGGCTGTGTTGGATATTCATGGGGTTGAATAGCCATCTGAAGCATCAGGACACCCTCCACACTCATTTATGCTGCACCTGGATCCAGTCCTCCCAGTTGGCATGCAAGTTACTGCTACTGAGTTACGTGAATAAAGCTGGCTGCGATGAAACGGTACAACTGTGGTTAAAAGACAGTAATATTAACAGAAATATGATTGAAGTCCTTAGAGCGGTCTTACAGCTGCTACGTTTTTTTGATATTTTCTGGTATGTGGGCAGAGGATCTAAATTCGATTCTGCACCCAAACCCACCTCCATCACTCTGGCGTTATAACAGGGCCCCAGCATCAGAGGTGCATCTAACTGATGGTACAGACTAGCACCAGAAAGGAAACTGAGGCACAGGTCTTCACTGAAGCTCTTTCTTGAGTAGGTGCAGGTTTGCTTCTGACTATTCCATTAACCTTCACCTCCCGACTCTTTCTGCCTAAAAAAAAGCTGTTCTAGGTAACCTTGTTTCTCCTGTGTCAGTTTTTGGCTTCTCTGATACAGGAACCTACGAAGGAATTATCTGGTGCTAACCAAGTTTTCCGCTATCTCTCTAATGTACATGGCCATCACTTCAGAAATGTTGTCATTAAGAAGGGTCACGGTTCATTTGTGTGCTTAATCTGCTTCTCACACAGCAAATTCATCACATATCTATAGTTAATTGGTCAAAGAGCAGTTTAAAGAAGCAGTGGAATGGAGTTCAACATCCAGTTCAGGTAGCATGGATTTATGCAGGGGTTTTGCTGGCCAAGGATTCCATATGTTGCTTGAACGTATTTGTGGAAAATCATAGACATGAATAGCTGTCATGGCAATGGAGGCACAAAATCTCCCCTTCCCTCTCACCCAAGTGCATGCCATAATCCCATATAATGCCAGAGGAAGCTGCAGTAATCTATAGTGGGATCTGAAACTTTTCTTGAATATCTGTCTATTATTAATCATAAGACTTGAGGCTAAATCCTCCACTGGAGTAATTCAGCATTCTGCTCCTTTGTGAATTCACACAAGTTAAAGAATTGGCCCTTTGAAAGAAGGCAGGAGGTGGCCATGAAAGAGAGCATTGCATTACAGGCATTATAAAACCAGTGTGCAATGCAGTGTTTTAAAAATGCAAGGAAAACACCACTGAAAGATGTAGGTGGTATGGTAAATGTTTAGCTTTTTAAAGTTAGTAAATGACTGAAGTATGCTTGTAACTGTGAAATCATCCTTGGTGTTGACACTGAAGGAAACTTAAGTCTGTACGTTTAACTGCTCAGGCAGCAAATAAATCCAGGAAAGTGAAAGCAGCAATAAGCTCAGTGATAATCTGTAGGAGTTTGCAAGAAATTTTCATTCACTGGTAAATTGAATGCAAATGCTGCTTTAGGACTGTGTTTTCAGAAATGTATTATCTTCAAATGCAACACAAAGCATTTCTGCATGAAGAAAATAATACAAGGGTCTGGAAATGTTAGATTGAAGGTCCTGAAATGTGACCACTGGCTGAACGGGAATGATGAAAAGCGGGACATGTTAGGAAAATGTTATTGTGTTACAGTTCTGTCTTGAGAAAGTCCGGTTTAGAGCAGCAAGAAAATGAACATATAAATTTTGCAAAGCACAGCATCGCCCAGCAGGACCTTTGTGTTTGATGCCGTGGCAGGCGACCCAAAGCCTGGCGTAGCGGCGTTCGTCGGGCTGCACGGCCTCGCCACCGCTCCCAGCAGGTCTGGGGGGATGGAGGTGAGCTGCCCACGGCTCGGTCCCCTCCCCGCCGCTGCCTCCCCTTGCCTTCGCTGTACCCAAACGACGCTGCAGATAATTTGTGGATGACCATGATAACCCACCGTTAACCACTACCCACCCGCCTGATATTTCAAATCTCAAGATCCTGGATAAATTACGAAAAAGGAAAGGAAAAAAATAAAAAAGCTACACCAGCCCTGCTCATTCCTGCCATGGCCCAGTCCTGCTGTGTGCTGTGCACTCCTTCTGTGCGTGCTGATCACTTCTTGGCTTCCTTAGGAATTAAGGTCCTAAAGCCTTTTGCAAGCAGCATCGGGCACTAGGCCCTTAGTGCATAAATCTAAGTGGTTTCTTCCATAGCTGTCGCTACGTAAGTGTTATTAGGACATATCCTCAGCTGGACTGAAATGTCCGCCCTCTCTCCCTTGACTCTGCTGGAATGAGACCAATTTACACCAGCTGATTACCTGGGACATTATTTATTATGAGTTGATGGTGACCAAATAAGGTTCTAGGACATCAAGGTCTTCAGCTGACGAAAATCACTTTAACTTCCTTGGCTTGGAGAGTCACACCAATTTACATTACTCTGTGGTGTAGAACATAAAAAATGGACCAGAATTCCGATTTCCTTACTCTTTTTTCACTCTGACAAAATTCCTTCCGATGTTACTGTTTGCTCTCCTTGCATGGATATCACTAAGACCTATTCAGGTTTAAATTCCTTAAGCTTAAGCTTAAGTCAGGCTTATATTAAAAGCAGGCAGCTACTTATCAAGAGAAATGCCCTTTAAACTGATAAATATTTCTTTTTAATAGTTCCAACCAACTTCATTTTATTATCTGTCTGGTTATCTTCATTCTACTGCCTCTCTATAACATAAAAAACCCCACTCAAAACCGCCTTTTCTTTTACCCATCTGGTTCTATAATTTCTAAAAAGATATTCATGCTAATTCATTAGCATTGTATATATTTTAAACTCCTTTATCTGGAAGCAGTCAGGCTGTTGTGCAACTCCACCTTCTGTATTTTCTTTCCTCTCTTATTTTTTTTATTATTATTATTATTAAGGAAGCTGCAGAACTCAGTCTCATCCTGGTATAGTATTTCTTTCTTTGTCAATAGTGTATAATCAAGATTAAAATTGATGCTGCTGCTTTTCAATCCTGTGGGAGTGCCTGTTCCTTCCCTTCTTTTGCTTCAAAGCCTGAGACATCAGGTTGCTGTTTGCTCCAAAGTAGCAATGCTTGTTTGTTAAACTTTGAGGCAAAAAGTTCGCTATAAGCAGGAATATTGGTCTGCATTTCAAAATCTCCAAAGTGGATATTGATAGAAAAAGGGATCAGTTGCTCATCAGAAATAAGGCAACATTTTAGACTCATTTCCCTGACTCATTCTGACCTTCAAATCACCTTCAGGATAACGTAGCAGGAGTACTGTCCACCTGCATCTGATTCTAGCTCAGAAACGAACATTGCAAGAATGTGTTTTAAATTAAAACAATGCATTTTATTTCAGAAGGATTCTGTACATGCTTGTAAGTGCCCTTGTGAATGCAAACTTTTTCTCATCTGAATATCCTGATTTTTAAGGTAATCCATATGTATTATGAAAATTACTGTATTCTATAAAAGTTTGCATTGTTTGAATTTCAATATTTAAGGAAGTCAAATGCTATCTCTGCTTGATTATAAAGCAACAATTTATTTTGCATACTGGGTAAATGGATATAAACTATCCATGCATCAAGGTATGTAATGAAAGGGATGTCTATTACAAAGTTCAGTACGCCCCTCCTTACTTGCTGTTCAGCACCATTCACTTGTTTTCAGAAGATTAAAAGGATAATAAAAACTCCCAAGCACCTCTGTTAACCATATGTTTTCTCTCACAGTAAGTTTTCCATATGTATAAAACCATGATCAGTTCCCCCTTCCCAGTCTTTACTTAAGAGAGAAAAAAGCAGTCATAAACCAGATCGTAACATATCTTTTTCCCTAAAAGGAAACAAAATGCAATGACATAATAGACAGTAATTTTGTTTTGACTTCCAATTAAATCCAAAGGGATGCTTTTTGCCCATGGAGAAAACTCTTAGCAAAATTAATGGAACAGATCTAGAATCCATGATTGCTTCAATTATAATAAACCCTTTTCTCCATGTTTATCATCTAAAACTCCGGAGAGGTTAAGCAGTGGCTCTAACTGCCTGTGTTTGCAAATACAATTCAGCAGATACCTCGGATAATTCTGACTTCTCCGCTGACTGCAGTGCTGCAGTCCTATGACAGCATCATATTAATGAGCCAGCATAGGACGGTGCTCCATGTGGTTTGCAAAGTTTAACCCTGTCCCTCAGACTTCCCCAACTCTCCCCCGTGAAGACACAGCAGCATCAAACCCGGGAGCTGTCTGTGTCCCAGGCTAAAGGCAGGAAGGCAATTTTTGAGAAGGATTTTGCCTGTTAACAAGATCACCTGCTTAAAAATTCACAGGCTGCTGAACACGGGCAGACCCTTTTCAGCACCTTTCTGAGCGAGGAGTTAAAATCTCCCCCCTCAGCATTCCTCCGCTTTGCAAGGGGAGCTGTAGCAGGGCTTTTTCTAGCACCAGCAGGTTTTGGGTTTGTTTTTTTGGGGGGGGTGGAGGGTGGGGTTGTTTGTTTTTTGGTTTTGTTTTTGGTGTTTTGTTGGAGTTTTTTGGTGGTTTTGTTGTTTTGTTTTTGTTTTTTTTTTTTTTTTCTTTGCAGCTTACTAATAATTGCCTATGTAGCTGTAATCCATCCAAGAGGAGTTCAAAGTGTGGATGGCAGCTAGTCACTGTAACGCAGCCCATACAAAGTATACGGTACCATGTAAACATAATTTTAAACAAGATTTGAAAGAAGGAGAATTTATTTCCAAGCAATGCACCAAACATTAGATTAAAATGTGAGGGTGGGAGGAAAAGGGAGGAAAAATAGGGAAAGAAGAATCAAAATCAAGGATTTTGGATGCCGGGGGGGGTGGGGTGTTCTTTCTAACTCTTGTTTACTGCTCCAGCACCGCATCCAGCCTCCTCCCGCAGACCCCCCCGCGCCCCCCCGCCAGCCCGCGGGGCGATGCCGTTGCAGGGAGCTCCGCTTGCCGCAAAGCGCCCGGTGAACCCCCCCCCCCCCCCGCCGCCGCCAGCCCCCCTCTGACCTTCAGATGTCAGACCCCGCCTGGGACAGGGGGGGTACGGGAGGTCGGGGTATGTGTGTGTGGGGGGGATGAATCGTGGGACCCCCCCCGTGCCCCCCCTCGCCCCGGCGCTGCGCGGCCCCGCTCCCCGCGGGAGCTGCCCGTGGTGCTGCAGCCGCGGGGCGGCCCCGGCCCGGTCCCGGCTCTGCCCCGGCTCTACCCGGGTCCTTCCCCGGCTCTACCCGGGTCCTTCCCCGGCTCTACCCCGGTCCTAGCCCGGCCCCAGCCCCGGCCCGGCCCCGGCCCTACCCTGCGGGCTCCGCCGGGCGCTGCTCCACCGCCCCCGGCAGCGGCCCGGTACCGGCACCGCGCTCCGCTCCGCCATGGCCGCTGCGGGAGGGGGAGAAAAGAGAGAAAGGAAAGAAAAAAAGAAAAGGGAGGAAAGAAGGACAATAAAGAAAAGATGGGAAATAAAAGAAGGAAAAGAAGGGGATGACAGGAAAGAATGAAAAGAAGGGGGAAAAAGGAACAGAAGAAGGGGGAAAAAAAAGGAAAAGAATGAAAAGAAGGAAAAAAAAAAAAAAGAAAAGAAAGAGGGTGATGGCCTAGGGAAGGGGTGAGAAGGGATCAGGGGCAAGGGGGAAGGAGCAGGGGAAAGGGGGAGCGGGGGGAAGAAAGAGGGGGAATGGGGGAGCGGAGGCAAGGGAGAAGGGGATGGGAAATGGGGGAGGAGGAGCAGCGGGAAGGGAGAAAGGGGGAGAGGGGGAAGGGAGCGGGGGAAGCAAGGGGAAAGGGGGATGGGGAAGGGGCATGGGGGGGCACCAGGGGCTGGGGGCCGGCAAGGGGAGAGGGAAGGGAAGGGGGAGCGGGGGGGGTGAGGGCGGGAGGCGGGGCGGGGGGGCGGGGCCGGGGCGGGGCCGGAGGGGGGGGCCGCCCCCCGCACACGTGTCGCGGCCGCCCCGCCGCCGCCCGGCCGGGCTATATAAAGGGGCGGCGGCGGCCGGAGCAGCGCTGCGCCGCCGCCCGCCACCCCAAGAGTGCCCCGCCATGAGCTACACCATGGAGCCCCTGGGCAACCCCTCGTACCGCCGGGTGACCGAGACCCGGGCTACCTACAGCCGCGCCAGCGCCTCTCCGTCCAGCGGCTTCCGCTCCCAGTCGTGGTCGCGGGGTTCGGGCAGCACCGTCTCCTCCTCCTACAAGCGCCCCAACCTGGGGGGGCCGCGGGCCGCGTACGGCTCCACGGTGCTGAGCTCCGCCGAGAGCCTGGACGTCAGCCAGTCCTCGCTGCTGAACGGCGCGGCGGAGCTGAAGCTGAGCCGCTCCAACGAGAAGGAGCAGCTGCAGGGGCTGAACGACCGCTTCGCCGGGTACATCGAGAAGGTGCATTACCTGGAGCAGCAGAACAAGGAGATCGAGGCGGAGCTGGCGGCGCTGCGGCAGAAACACGCCGGGCGGGCGCAGCTGAGCGACGCCTACGAGCAGGAGCTGCGGGAGTTGCGCGGGGCGCTGGAGCAGGTGAGCCACGAGAAGGCGCAGATCCAGCTGGACTCGGAGCACATCGAGGAGGACATCCAGCGCCTGCGGGAGCGCTTCGAGGACGAGGCGCGGCTCCGCGACGAGACGGAGGCCACCATCCGCGCCCTGCGCAAGGAGATGGAGGAGGCCTCGCTGATGCGGGCGGAGCTGGACAAGAAGGTGCAGTCGCTGCAGGACGAGGTGGCCTTTCTGCGGGGCAACCACGAGGAGGAGGTGGCCGAGCTGCTGGCGCAGCTCCAGGCGTCCCACGCCACGGTGGAGAGGAAGGACTACCTGAAGACCGACCTGACCACGGCGCTGAAGGAGATCCGCGCCCAGCTGGAGTGCCAGTCCGACCACAACATGCACCAGGCCGAGGAGTGGTTCAAGTGCCGCTACGCCAAGCTGACGGAGGCGGCCGAGCAGAACAAGGAGGCGATCCGCTCCGCCAAGGAGGAGATCGCCGAGTACCGCCGGCAGCTGCAGTCCAAGAGCATCGAGCTGGAGTCGGTGCGCGGCACCAAGGAGTCCCTGGAGCGGCAGCTCAGCGACATCGAGGAGAGGCACAACAACGACCTCAGCACTTACCAGGTAGCGGGAAGGGGGGTGCGGGGGGGGGGGGGGGGGGGGGAGCTGCCCGGGTACCATCCCCGGGGGAGCTGGGGGGGGGGGCCGGGAGCCGGGCGGGTCCTGCTCAGATCCCAGCACCGCTTCCCAGGGTGGGAGGAAGCTGTTTCTGCCAGTCCCGTTTGAGAAGTTTTGCCGCGAAGCGTGTGGCCGTGTCACAGAGGTTTTTCTGCGTCTCCGTTGCAGGACACGATTCATCAGCTGGAGAACGAGCTGAGAGGAACGAAGTGGGAAATGGCACGGCACTTGAGGGAATACCAGGACCTCCTCAACGTCAAGATGGCCCTGGATATTGAAATTGCTGCATACAGGTACAGTAGGATCATTGCAGACATGTCGGGAGTATTAATAGCACTGCAGATGCTGCTGGCTTGGGGAGCTTTACCACAGACAAATATCTGCGTGCACTGAACGCAAGTAAAATTAGAGCTTGACTCAATTATAACAGCTGTTTCCAAAATCTACACAGACTGCAGAGTGTTTGCAGTGAGAACCCAGAGGTCATTAGGGACCAGGTCTCTGGTCATCAGTGGCAAAAGCTCCCAGCCAGCTCCGTGGGCACAGGACAGCACAGCTCAGTGCAGCAGCGCCCTGGTGCCGCATTCTGCCTGCATTTCCAGAAGCAGAAGATGCAGCAAAAGACAAGTTTATTTTTAATTCCTGTTTACTTTGCTTTGCATATGCCAAGCAAGCAGTGCTTGTCACTTGAATTCCCTTTTATCGCTTGAGAGAGACAATGCACGCACTTGATCATGGTTTCAAGCGGGGAGTGCTCATCTGCTTGTCACAAACACTTTTGCTTTTCTTGCTCAACTTTCCTTTAAAGGCATCCTCTCTAATCTGGAGCAGGAACATTGCTTGCTATTGCCATCACCTGGCAGGTTTTTTAGTCTCCTTTGCATCACTTCAGAACTCTGATCAGAGAACTAGTGATTTTTCTGGGTCACAGGCTTAGATGAAAAAAACATGTATTTGAATATAAGAAAAGTAAAACTAAAAAATATAATCTCCAGATCTACTTAAATTCCTGAGGTTGTTTAAGCAAACACAGAGGTAGCTGTTTGCTGCCAAAGTTAGCTGAACAAAAGTCTCTCCGGTTTTCATAGCTGCACAAGAAAAGTGGATGCCCAAACTATTGAACGAGGACATAAGCTCTAATTGGCTTTGAATATCTCGGCCACAGTATTTGATTTGGATCTGTTGGCTGTGTCAAATTCTCAGTTCGCCTAGGTCATAATGCATCCTATGAAACGAATTATTTTGCCATACTCTGTGCTGACTTAAGCCATAATGAAGTTTTTGACATTAAGGATGAATTTCAGCTGGTCAGCGGAAGGTGTTCCACTTGCCACATGCAAACCAAGCTAAAAGCGGTTTGCTGAATATGAATTTTGCAAAAGAGCTGATTCAAGGAAAGCCGAACTGGGGCTGTGAGCGATGGATTATGCTGATCAGCTCTAGCATATTCCACATACAAACTGGTTTCATCCTGCTGACAGGGAAATATTCTAATAGCTGTCCCTTATGTTGGGTTTCTATGCTCATTTTTTTTTTTTTCTCCTCCTGATCCCTTTAGGAAGCTACTGGAGGGTGAAGAGACAAGATTCAGTGCCTTCTCTGGAAGCATTACTGGACCCATATTCACACACAGACAACCATCTGTCACAATAGCATCCACTAAAATTCAGAAAACAAAAATTGAGCCACCAAAGCTGAAGGTCCAGCACAAGTTCGTGGAAGAAATCATTGAAGAGACAAAGGTAGAGGATGAGAAGTCTGAAATGGAAGATGCCCTAGCAGCTATTGCAGAAGAAATGGCAGCCAAGGCCGAGGAAGAAAAAGCAGAAGCAGCAGCTGCAGAGGAAGAAGTCATTTCTGAGAAGGCGGCTGCAGAACAAGCAGCTGCACCTGAGGAAGAAGAGAAGGAGGAAGAGGAAGCAGAGGAGGAAGAAGCTGCAAAATCTGACGCAGCGGAAGAAGGAGGTTCTGAAAAAGAAGAAATAGAGGAGAAGGAAGAAGGGGAGGAGGCTGAGGAAGAGGGAGAAGAAGCTGAGGCAAAGGGCAAAGCTGAAGAAGTAGCAGCAAAGGTAGAGAAGGTCAAAACACCTCCTGCAAAGTCACCCCCTAAGTCCCCCCCTAAATCCCCTGTAACAGAGCCAGCCAAGGCTGTCCAGAAAGAACCAGCTGCAGAAGCAGGAAAAGAACAGAAGGTGGAGAAAGGTGGTGAGAAACCAGCCAAGGAGGAAGAGAAAGTGGCATCCCCGGAGAAGCCAGCGACACCAAAGGTAACCTCTCCGGAGAAGCCTGCGACCCCAGAGAAGCCTGCAACCCCAGAGAAAGCAGCGACCCCAGAGAAGCCGGTGACACCAGAGAAGCTCCGCTCCCCAGAAAAGCCGGCGACCCCAGAAAAACCCCGCACTCCAGAAAAGCCGGCGACTCCCGAGAAGCCCCGTTCTCCAGAGAAGCCGGCCTCCCCTGTCAAAGATGAAAAGGCTGTGGTGGAGGAGACCATCACTGTCACAAAGGTAACAAAAATTAGTGCAGAGTTGGAGAAGGAGTCCAGGAAAGAAGACATTGCGGTGAATGGTGAGGTGGAGGAGAAAAAGGAAGAGGAGGAATCCAAAGAGAAGGAGATTGAGGAGGAAGACAAGGGAGTTGTCACCAATGGCCTGGATGTGAGCCCAATTGATGATAAGGGTGAGAAAATTGTAGTAACCAAAAAAGCAGAGAAAATCACTAGTGAAGGTGGAGACAGTACAACCACATATATCACAAAGTCGGTGACAGTCACTCAGAAGGTAGAGGAACATGAAGAAAGCTTTGAGGAGAAATTAGTGTCCACCAAGAAAGTAGAGAAAGTTACTTCACATGCTGTAGTAAAAGAGATTAAAGAGACCGAATAAATTAAATCATAGCTAAATTTACAAAATTAAAGAGCTTGGGTCGGTGCAAAAGGTTAAGCCATATGACAGCTGCAAAATGCATGTGAGTGACGGCTTCAAAGCAGAACGGGTTCTCTCATGGAGGCTCCAGACACACAGTATTTTACTTTTTTGTGCAATATAGGGGAGGGGGGGGGAATGCATGCAGGCTCAAGATGTACTCCCTCCACAGAGCTTGGGGATCTAAAAAAAATAATACTAATAATAGTGCATGAGATGAAATGTGCAAAGGAAGCTTTTGAATTTCCTGAGCTGTTGGAGGGACATATCTGAGGAACGACTTAAGATGTATTATGCAAAGAACCAACTGAGCCAAAAACAAACAGAAAACAGTAATAGAATATTCATGAGAACCAGAACTCTCCTAGCCTTAAAAAAA